TTTTACAGTGAACCCAAAATTTAATAGATTTTTCTGAGTCTTTTTTTTTTCGAGTATAAACATGGCCCGCGGCTTTAGTTTTGATTTTCGCAACTGCGCAGTCAAGTGTCTCGTAGTACACGTGAACCAGGAACAACACTCGAGATAACGGCGACGCGCCTGTTCGGCTCGTGGCACGCCAGACGCAGAGCTCTCGGGACGCGGCCGCGAGCGCTGCTCGGCACGGGGTATATCGGCGCTGGAAGTTACTCCACGCGGCCCGCCGGTCCGCCGCGGGGGGCCGTCCGTCACGGTCTACCGTGTTGTGTACTGTACACAGCGCGCCGCGGCGCTCCCGGCCCGGCGATCAGGTCGCGGTCAGCCGCGCCGGTAGAGGATGAAGGGTTAGTAGTGCGTGCTGGGGGTGCCCTGCCCGCGGGGCCCTGGCCGGCCCGGCCCCGGCCGCGGCGGGTCGATGCTCTTTTCTTATTTCTCTCTCCCCTTTTCCACGGGGCGCCCCCCCGCGGCCGGAGCAGCGGGCCGGACGCTCTAAAGTGAGAGCGGAGAGCGGACCGGAGGGGGCGGCGGCGCGTAGCGCAGCAGCGTGGAGCTTGCTGAATAAGTGACAACGTGCTGCTTTTATTGGTCGTGTGGGGGTCGGCGGGGTCGGCGGGAGCGGGCCGAGGGGGGTAGAGAGGCAGGTGTGTTCGTAGATCCCGACCCGAAGACGACCACGGCGGCGGCGGCGGAGGTGTCTGAGACCATGACAACCCGCAGCGGTGCCCTCCCACCCCACGGCCTCGAGCACCCCCATGGGGCACCTCGTTAACACCTGCGCGCCCGCGGTAAAATGCCGACGGTACGGCGCCCTCGCTGGCAGCAGCAGCTGCCCTGTACCCCCATCGCAAGGCTCGGCAGGTGCCGCGGGCCGCACGCCCTCCTATGCCTCCTCGGGGTGCAGTAGTATAGGCGCGCGGCCCGCTCGTCCTAGCCTAGCGCCCCTCGCGGGGCCCGGAGCCCAGCCGGGCCGCCGGCCCTAGTATACGCTCTACGACCGCGCTGCCTCCTGGACGGCCAGCTGCCCGCCCTCCCGCGCCCTGGTGGCCAGGGGGCGGCGAAGAGAGGAGGGATGACGGGCTATGACCGGGCGTGCCGATCCAGATCGGATACAGGATAGTTGCGTGTCTAAAAGTGTAGTCATGAATGGAGAAAGTCGAAAGAATAATGTCGAAAGGGTACAGGATCAAGTGCCGAAGCCGGACCCACATCTACATGCTGCTCACATAGACGTCAAAATTACTTCCCAACAATTGTCCGTTCCGTTGTTTTAAATTGCTGGTTCCTTTCAGCCGTTACACCTCGTCGAGGGTCGTAAAATGTCCTCGTCGTCCAGGCCCATTCATACACCAACGCATTTATTCGTTTTTTGTATTGTTCATTAATTAATTAATTCATCCATCAATTCAATCATTCGTTTGTTCATTCAATCATTCATTCGTTCATTCGCGGATCCCTACCCCTCTCTGACCACCTCCTCCTTCTTCCACCTCTCTCTCTACTTTCTCGACCGGAGCGCGAATTATTACGAACGATTTATTTATGAATCCGATTCATTATCAGGGCAGGGCGCCTGGTCGCGCGTGGGTAGCGTGGCGTGGCGTGGAGTGGGCGCTCGCCGCCGCGCCCGGACGGACCGAGCAGGCGGCCCAATGCTGCCGGCCTGCCGGGCGGGGCGAGGCGGGGCGTGGCGGTGCGGAGCGTGGCGGAGCGGGGCGGGGCGGGGCGCGGGCCGAGTGTAGTCAAGTCGGTCGTGTCGCCGTCTCAGTCTCCCGGTCCCCGCGAGCCAGTGAGCACGAGAGGTGGCACGAGGTGAGCACGGACCAGCTTCGCCTCTACCGCACCACCACCCCCCTTGTGTGTAGTACTACTACTCGACTTCGCACCTCTCAGCGTGACACACCCACTCACCTGCAGCCGACTACCGTCACGGACTACCGTGCGCGCCGGCGCCCGACGGCCTCACGCCCTGCGCTGTCGTCGTCGTGATAGTCGCCGTTTGGAGTCGTACTCGTGCCGTACTCGTGTCGTGGTTGTAGCGTCGTGTTTGTTGGTGTTCGCGACGCTCTCCTTTAGGAGGGCGGCGGTGGGGCGGCTCTGTGGTCAAGGGCCCGGCTGCGCGGGGGGATGGGGGGACGCATCTCGTTGTGTGCGTGAGTGTGCGTGCGCGCCCGCCCTATTGTCCGTAGTAGTGTGAGTAGTGTGCGCTTGTGCTGGTCTGTGTGTGTTGTGCGCCGAGACGGGCGCGCTCGCCGTCTTGTCGAGCCTGTCGTCGCCGCCGTCGTCGTCGCGCCCGCCCGTTTGTGACAGTGTTTGCTTTAGCCGGTGCACGGCTCCGCCTGCGCCTGTGGCTCCCGTGTGGCTCCCCGCCAGAGAGAGAGGCCCTGGTGGGAGATAGTAGCGTCTGCCCACTACCCGTGGGCCGTGGGCCCCCGAGGGGGCTCCCTCTGCACGGCGTCGGCGAGCAGGGGGCGCTCACGCACCGCGCCGTCGGCCGCCGTACGACCATACCTGATCATATCCGTACGCTGGGTGGGCCGTGTTTGGACTCCTAATGCGCCACGACTATCCCGTCGAGAATATTAATTAGTACTCTTGAGGGGGTCATGTAATTTTTGTGCATATACGACATGAGAGCAGCAGCATCGTGAACACATAGTGGCCATGTGCTCAACGTATTGTTTTTAGTGATTATTATGAGTAGTAATTAGCAATAATGGCACAGTGGAAACTACTTCATGAGTAATGTTGTGATGTCACATATTAAGATTGTAAAATTTTCTTTTCTTTTCTTTTCTTTTCTTTTCATTACACTGTAATCATTGAGTATCAATTTGGTTTTCGTAGACGACGATCATCACACTGAAAATCCAAGAGTTCAAATGTAAAACACTTCAAGGTGAATGAAAAATTCAGACACCTGCAGATGTGTAAATTTCTTTCCACTCACAAGCAGCAGGTGTAAACTTGGATTTCCAGTGCAAGAATGAGCTCTCATGAATTCACAACATTCTAAAAAATATTTTAAATTGTATAATATACTTTTCTCAATCGACGGGGTCAACGGTAGTGAGCAAGTAATGTCGATTCGATACGCCAGCTGCACCTCATTGCCATTCCTCATTTTCGGGGCGGTGTGGGGCGGGGGTGCATCACATGTGCCACATGCCACATGTGTGTGGTGTGGCAAACTGACTCTGGCCGACCTGGCGGGGGCCACCTGCTTATCGATTAGCGAAGGGGGGAAGGGTCCCCGGGGCGGACAGGACCGGACGGGACAGAACGGGACAGCGCGCGACAGCGGCGCCACGCTCCTCGACACGGGCCTACCTGGCTGGCTGGGCATCGCCTCCCGACCCACCCACCGCAAAAGTGTACTTAGTTAGCGAAAATTTGTTGCCTCGGAGCTTTTTGTTTTCGTCTGGATTCTCCCCGGGGTCGGTTTATGGCCGCGGGGCGGGGCATCCTCGCGGTGCGGTGCTTGCGGCCTGCTCGTGAGTTTCCGCAGCGAGTTCGACAAAGGAGATACTCTGGCACGCAAACTTTTTTTTTTTTTTCGGTGGTAGTCGGAACATCGATACGTTGTTGCATTATTGATCCCGGTGTGTACTCTTTTGTTGGTGCCACACTACTATGCCCTACTGCTTGCTTAGGGAGACGCGCGCACGCCGTCGCCGCCGCCGCCGCCGAGGGGAATTCCCCTGCCCCGAACGTACCGACCGGTCCACTTTTAACGACGCGAGCAGCAGTTATGGCGCAGACACGGACGCGGCCGGGCGGGCGCACTCTGACGAGTGACTCTGACGAGCGAAGGACCCGCCTCCTGAAACTCTATCGGGTGCAGCGCTGCTTGCGAGCAAACCGATAGGCGCCCCGTTCATAACCCGCTCGGACCGCGACCAAGCCCTAGTCAAAGTCTCTTGCCGCGATGCTCCCGAAATGCGTTAAATTTTCACCTTTTCCATTTGTCGCGGTTTCCCACAAGGTTTAAAAAGTTACCGCGAATGAAAAAGAACTCAGCGGCTCATCAACTTTTGGTTCGCCGATAAAGCTATTTTTTTTATGATGACCCCTGGTTCCCCGCCCACGACGACGACCCTCCCTTCCAAGTTGACTGATTACGACTCGGCGCCGCCGCGGAGTTTTCCAAGTCCAAGTTCCCGCGCCGCCGTGTGGCAGCTCATCCTCGTCCTCTTCCTCCTCCTCTGCCCCCTGGTGATCCGGGCGGTGGCGGCGCGAGCCGTGCGCGGCTTCCGGCGCCCAGCACCTAACGACGCCTGAGTGGAAACTCATTTCCTGTCGCACCGATCGGTGACAAGCGCTCCACGAAGTTTGTGGCTTCGCACTGTCGCTGCTGCTGCTGCTGCTGCTGGTGGTGGTAGATGCTGGTGACCATGGTGCTGCCGCTGGTGCTGCCGCCGCCGCTGATGGTGTTGGAGGTGCTGCTGCTCCTGCTCCTCCAAGAGCCTCGTTTGCTCGGTCGGCTCGTCTCCGCAGTGGGCAAGGATGGTGCGCCATTGTAAAGCCTCGGCCGCTGCGGGGCGGACGCCAGGACAACCAGACCCACCACCAGCAGGACGAAACCCTTCAGGCAATCATTTCTTAGACGCGAGTTGTCGCGATTATCAGTATTTTTCCTCGCATACGACGAGTTTGTCGAGTGGTGGACCCCTCGAGAATTTCTACGAATTCGTATGAACTCGTTTCAGACACCCCTAGTCCGATCTGATCTGAATTTGCAATTGTTGTTTTTTAACAGTGTTTCTTCTCTCCTTTTAGCGGGACGTGGTTCCTCCAGGCAGTACTAGAGTGGGGCGCTTGCTTGCCCCGTGCAAACGCTGGCGTCAAATTGGCGGAAGTGTAACCGAAGCATACAGTTTGTTTGCTTTCTTTGCTCCCGCAGATGGGCGCCATTCTGAGTTACTTGTGGTCGCCGAGCCTCAGCACCGAGGTGGACCCGGCTACGGGGCTGAGCCCGCGTGACAAGCACCTGGTGAGGACGACCTGGGCCATTGTGAAGAAGGACGCTTCCAGCAACGGCCTTTACCTCTTTCAACTGTAAGTAGTCTATAACGTTTGCCACGTTGAGTTGCGGTCAGTGCGTGCTTCACCTTCTCCTAACCTTCTCCCGTCCCGCCCACAGACTCTTCACCAAGCACACGGACGTCAGGGACATGTTCCCGTTCGCGCGCGGAAAGGAGGCCGCCGAGTACCGGGACGACCCGCGCATGCGCGCGCACGCCAACGCCGTCATGTACGCCCTCACCTCGTACATCGACCAGCTCGACGACGTGCCCTGCCTGGACGCCATGGTGCGCAAGCTGGCCGACAGTCACCTCAAGAGGCACGTCACCCCGGAGCACTTCAAGGTGGGTGCCGCCGCCGCACGGTGCGGCTGGGTGCGGTGCAACCGCCGCCACCAACCACCACACCACTCAGCAGAGCCAAACTCATCCTTTTCTTTGTTTTGTCTCCCTCCAGGCGCTGGGAGCCGTGGTGATGCAGGCCCTCCAGGACCTGCTCGGCGCCAGCGTCATGACCCCCGACGCCGTGACCGCCTGGACCAGGACCTACGGGCTGGTGCTGCAGGTCGTCACGGACCAGATGGGCAAGGCGCAGTCATAGCCTGCGCCCCCCGAGCGCGTGTGGTGGAGAGAGAGAGAAACGGTGTGTTTGTGCGAGTGAGCGTGTGTGAATGAGCGTGTAAACGGTGTGCGAGTGTGCGTGCGTGTCTGTGAAAGAGAGATGAGGGTGAATGAGTGAATCGCGCGCGCGGCCCGCCTGCTCCGCGCCCCTCCTGTGGTTACGCCCCCTCCCGCCCCCCGGCCTGGTGGCGCTACC